CTTAACATCTCTTTGTAGTTCATGGGCTGGTTTTACTGGTTTATCTAATCCTGTGCATTTAAAGTGAAGCATCTGAATGACTCCTGAAGGTAATAAACTGGCATATTAGTCCCTGTACGGAATGACGGACTTACAAATAAATTGTGCTGCCCAGGAGAGGGCTGAGCGGTACAGGCCATTGACTCCACCCCGGAAATGTAAGACTGGGGATGTGTTGGGGTCACCCTTCAGCCCAACTGGCGAGAGCCAGAGTATAACTGAAGTGTGGGTGGCAGGCTGCAGTTACACACAGACACTCAGGGTGTGGTGTGCACGCTGGAAGGCTGGTTGTGAGTGGCCCAGGTGGAAGCTAGTTCAGCAAGGCATTGTGGGGCTCCCCAGATTGCCGTGCAGGGGTGTTACAGCCCCTTCACCCCCCCCCCTGGTCTGAACTGTTTCCTGGTATGTCACAAGTCCATCCGGATTTACATTCTTAACTAGTGAAAGGGACAAGACGTTTCATTCCAGTCTGGTTTCAAACACTGAATTCTGCAGTGTGGTTCAGTATCAAGACCTGAGTTAACTGACAATTTGTCCTTTGAGATTGTGAAACACCTGGCAGATGTGGGCACATTTTGATGCTTGGATTCGTGCCCATCTTTAATATTCATCCCTCTCCCAGCTACAAACTTTAAAATTCCTCTGGCAGGAGCAACTGTATCTGTAGATTCAACTCTTGTATAACTCGATTGGGCTTTAAAACAGGATGGGTCCTTTCCATTGTTTGCCAGTATGATTTAGGGTTTTTTTCTTCTGCTGCATCTTTACAGATCCCTCTTTCGTGCCTTTTCTAGACTGCCAAGGTCTCTTCCTCTCTCTCTCCCTGAGAAAATCCTCAGAGAATGACCTGGACCCCACTTTAGATTTAGATCAACTAAAACATGGGAGACCCCCCGTTCAGAAATGGCTGGAATTTCCCATGGGTTCAACACAACATGCTGCACATGACTATAAAGCCTCTTAATTCCTCTTCCCGCCTCTGTAATCCCAGCAAGTCACACCTTGCTCAGGACAGCAAAGGTTGCCAGCCACCCACATGTAAAAGGCTTTGAAAGGAATGC